GAGTAAACAGGGACGAACTCAACAAGAGTTCGTCCCTGTTTAACTTATTTAAGATAAATCCAGGTAAACTAGTTGCAATAAGATCTATCATTGTTTTGGAATCTATAGATTTGTTTATATCTAATATAAGCCGTTCTTATTTTATGGCATAATCAATTAACAGTCCTTCTTTATACCTAAATGCGAGAGCATATGTGACTATGTCCCATCCTCGGTTTTTAAAAGTTTCTAAATATTTGTATTTCCATTCACTCCATTCAGAATTTACTGTTAGTTTTATGATCATCAAGCTATACCAATCCAAACAAGCTTTATCTAAAAATAACCTCAATATATCTATTTTTGTTTCATCTTTTGTTATATTAAAGAGCGCACACTCTTTTTCAAAAATCTCCATCCATTGCATCGCATTAGGATTCTTGCTTGTAAATTTTTCAATAATATTTTTTTCTGAAATATGTTTTAAGTTATGTTGACTTTCTTTCTTAGTTGTAGTTTCTATTAATTGTTCCAAGATATGTTGCAAACTGTTATCTTTGTCTCTTGTTTGTTTTGTGCTCATTTCCTCTAAATATTGATCTAAAAATTGCATATTACCTTCCTCATCTACATACGTCTTCTTTAGATTTTCATCTAATTTTATCCATACTTTTCTACTTTGGTGTCTTTTCTTTATGCTATTTTTAACTTTTGTGAAATATGATGACTCATCGGCTTCAGCTCCTAGGGTAAAACATAACATTTTCCGTCTTCTGTAGATATTGAGGTTATGGCTAGTACATTCGATTTGCCATCATTTGAGGCTATCATCGTAAACTCAAATTGCAGCCGGTCCATCTTCTCTTAGTTAACAAAAATGTCGTTTTATAAGGTATGTTATTGAGGATCTTCAAAATAAACCATAAATTGTTTCTCTGAAAATACAAAGTTCTGTTTTATTTAATACGCCTTTACTATATTACAACAATTATCAAGATATGACAATTACACTTCTATCTCACCTGAAAATACAAAGAAACGACATTTTAAGTTCACTAATATCGCTTCCTCAATCGTATCTTTCGGTTTATCTCTCTACAAGTTTTTATAACAATAAAATGCACAAAATAATCTAAGCGTCATCCGTCATTGAATCATAGTTCACATGTCACTTCGATGCGCAAAATTCAAATTATGAAATGTCATTCATTTCATTACATATATAAAAATGTTATGTTGGTTAGTCTACGCTTCAAAAACTCAAAAAGTTGTGCACCGATTAGACTCAAATTTTGATAGAATATACTCGTACAACCGGATACAGGATATAAAAGTTTTTAAGATGGTTTTTATCTATTTTTTGTGTCAGTTTATTTCCTATTTTCTCATTAATGCAAGCACAACATGCCACAGCGAAGCGTGCCAGGGTACAGCTATATATATTATAGGTACATATTTGAACTTTCTTTTCATGCGAATCGCCGTATCTATCCCCTTTTTATAATATTGCACCTTTGGTAAAATAAAGGCATAATAAATTGCACTTTTTGTAATTTTACAGGAAACAACTATTTTAAATATAATTTTTCAATTGATGGCGTTTAATTATACTTTTGTTAGCCTTGCGTTATTGCCTTCTGTTATATAAAGTTAAACTTATAAGAAATGTTTGTTTCTGTACATAAGGTAGTAGGTAGCAATTTAAGAACGCGAATGTGGTTCTATTTTAGCAATATAAAATCTATGTAAATAAAAATGAACCGCCGAAATGTTTGAATGAAAGGTTTTTTTTTGTGTTCGCTATTGTCAGGATAAGGTTTGAGTTTTTTTTTTATGGCTTGAGGACGTGTTATAAATAAAATCACTTCTTGACTATTATATTATCATATAATTAGCGTATTGCATAGAGAGACTTTGACCAGGTACTTTACAGTGTCCCAGACAGCAGAGCAATGACTACCCAAGTATGTGCATAGTGCTACGTGCCTTGGTGACGTGATATAACTTACTAATGTAGTGATGTTACAACAGTTAGTTTAAATAAATTTTAAAAAAAAGTTGAGATTAATATAAATAATTTGATTGATTTAAATTAGATTCTAATTGATTATAATTAAAGTTTTAATGTTTAGTATTAAGAAAAAACCAGAAGAATCATATTATCTAAAAACACGAAGAAAATACAACACTTAACCTAACAACTTATAAACACGTCCACGAGCTATGCGTCCTTTAGTTAAACCTTAGAATACATCTTTAATTGTATTCACTGTTATTTTTATTTACTACCGTACGGATCTATGGGCCACTGTTGGTAAAAACTTGGAATCCATCTGTAATTATATTTAATGTTGTTATTTACGGCTTTTATGAAAGAGAACCACGACATTTTAAAGTCGACGTCAGCTTAGCTGACCTCAGTCCTTTAAATACAATCCAGACACCGGTCCTCCGTCACATACAGTTACCACTTCTTCACGGCAAAACAGTGTTTTGGTGTGTGTTTAGAGGTTTACCGTCGTATTATTGATCCACCAGTGAGGCGTCAAAGTATCGTTCGGCGTACACGTAAAGCAAGACGAGTTCACAATTTTCAAGACAATGAGACTGAAGGAGAGCGTGGGCAGCATTTAGATTTAAAGAGAATGAGAATTTCTCAAGCGAGATCTACCACGACTCCGGCAGAACCCATATCATTGACTTCAAAAGGGGGGCAACAAAACAGACGATCAAACGTAACAATTACCTACTAATATAATACAACAGTAGTTTACGCCGGCGATGAATAGGTGAATTTTGGAACAATAAGCTTAATTTGTGTCAATACTGCAATGCTATGAGATTTCGACTCGAACCGCCAGTATCATCACTGGTGCGAATGGAAAGGTCAATATTACCACAACTGACGACGCTACCTGAATCAAAATTCATTACTTTCAGGACAAGCACTCTGTCAAACCATTTCTTGCAGTATATTCAAAATTACAATAGTGCATTCCTAAAGACATCATTTGGTGCAAATATAATTGAAGAACGGTTTTAATCCAACTTTTAAGGGATCGATCGTTCAGGTAAAAGAGAAATCATCACACAGCTGCAACAACTCTTACATGAGTTTTAGTGCGCCTTGCACTACAATGACTATTAATAAATCCCAAGGGGCCAATCGTTAGAAGCGTGTGGAATAAAAGTGTATGTGCTCGAGAGGCAGCACACTATCACTACACCGTTATACCGCTGTAAATGGATGTTTAACTACATGTACTACAGTATGACTAAAAATAATCATCTATATTCTGCATATACACAACAAAAGATACAAAATGGCAGCAAGTCAATGTTGCCACACATCAAAAATACTTTACGGATGCGTTCAATTCGTTAAATTTCTGTGTTCATTTTTTGAAATATCAATGATGTCCACTGGTAAAACCGTTCATAGGTACAACACCTTCCTACATGGTCGTATTGTAAATGGAAGATTTTGTCTCAGTTTTTATCAATAAGCACGTAACGTGTTTAGTAATATTTGTAGTTCAATTAAGTAAATGAAGTGTGATTTTGATGATTTTTTGACATTGTCGTGGTTTTCCTCAGTAAGTACAAATAAAGATGTATTTCAAGATCTTACTAATAGTTGTAGATAGATATATGCGGTCAGACGATAATAAATACAGACAACAGTAAATACAATTAAAGATGTATTCCAAGGTCTTACCAACAGTCGTACATGGATCAGTACAGTCCGACGGCTCAAGCGAGACTGATCTGCACTGCCGCGTATACAAAACCTCGAGCTACGTGGTGTTTTAGGTTAAGTTAATTTATGTTAGAAGGAGCAGACGAGCAGACGGGTCACCTGATGGAAAGTGACCATCGCCCCATGAAAGTTTGCAACTCAGGAGTCACAAACTCAGGAGTCACAGGCCTTTTAAGAAGGAGTACGCTCTTTTCTTGAAGATTTGTAGTTCGTATCGGTCCGGAAATACTGCAGACGAAAACCCGTTACACAGATTGGTTGTGCTGGCCAAAAAGTGTCTCGAATAGGGCACAGTAGTGGAGCGCCAATTATCCAGGTAATCAGGATGAAAATTTTGCCGTGTGGAACGATGGCGAAAAGTTGTGGCTGGTATTAGACCGAACAATTCCTCGGAGCACTCTCCATGATATATGCGATAGAGAATGCAGAGTGAAGCCACATCTTTACGTAACCGATTCGCTCTTCTTTGGATGCGGTCCAGAGGGAGAAACTGGTACTGAGGTGCCATAGAGATAAGAACAGTATTCCATATGCGGCCGGATTTGCGCCTTTTAGAGCTGAAGACGGTGGGCCGGAGTGACATACTGCCTCTATCTGTTCAGCACACGGAGCTTCTTCGAGGCCCATTTCGATAACTATTCATAAATTCGTCGTAAATAGATGTTGATTTCATAGTTCTTACATGAAATTAAGTGAGTACTAATTAAGTTATACGAATAAATTAAGTATCACTGTATTGTTCCAAAACTACACAATTTAGTAGTTGAGCCGATAAATATAATACTTTAACAACTTTATTGGACATAAATAAATAAATAGCTTTTTCTTTGAGAATTCATAAATGGTAATAAATTGTAACATTCTGCACTTTATCAACTTGTAAACAGTAAGTAGGTATTCTAAGTATCACATTCCTTCTTCCGCGAAATTTACTTTAAATTTACTTTATTCTTTTTACTTCACTTTAATAAACTAAACTTAATATTTTAGTTTATTACATTCGTCACATACGTTGCCTCCAGTTGCAATATACGAATAACGTTTAATCCTTTTACTAAGTAGGATGCGGAACAGTTAAACAAACTGCCGTAAAAGATGGGTATTTTATGTTCGTATTATCAAACCAAAAAGTAATTACCACATAAAACTACATTGTCGTCGTCTGAATTAAAGACACATAATGTGTGTCATCAGCAAACTAACCAGTATAAATTTGGGTATATGTCTTGGATGATCAGTAAGTTGTCATCACTCAGACGAAATGAATACTTTGAAGTCGCTTTTTGTTCTTCTTGGTTTCATATACCATACATATTCGTATTCTACTGTACCGTGTAAGTAGAGACAAACATAAATTATTAAGAAACAAAAACTAAATGATCAAAATAATTTATTAACCGTACTAATTGAGTAAATAAAATAAAATAAAACTTAATAAAAATCAAAATAAATATGATTATAAAACAAAGTAGCGAAACACCACAATATTTTTTTTGTCATAAATAATAATTAGCGAAGAATTTAATAAAATTCCTTAAATTTTGTTGTATATTTTTTTTAACATATTACTTGATAATATAATTCTACAAAGCATCTGTTAACTAATGTGTTTTTTTAGAAGAAAAGATTACTAATATCCCTATTTTTTTAAACATATGTCGTGTTTTTCAGGCAAAAAAATATGCATTCTAAACAACCGGAAGTGTGTGACTAGTGGAGGATATGACGTTTATAAGACTGTTGTAAATGGAGTTAAAGGCTTGAATGCACCTTTAGACCCATTACATATAGAAAAAATTGAAGGAGTATTGGAAAACGTAAAATATAAATTAACTAACATCACACTGAAGGGTTTGAAAGGCTGTACAGTCACGAAACTAAAGTAAGTGACTTTTCAAATTGTCGTGGCCGCTGTCTCTTTATTGGTGCGGAGATAGAAGGCAACATTTAACAGTAGTCTGAACGCGGCAAATAATACCCGAGCATCGAGTCCGATATTGTAGGTGTGAGAAATTAATTATATTATTATAATTTATTTATATATTTAATATATAATATAATTTATTTATATAACTAGCTGATCCGGCGAACTTCGAACCCGATTATCGATATACTGGATAACCGTGACAAACATGAAACAATCCAGCTGTTCTTAACTACGTCTTCCTTATTTTGGACTTGCAACGTTATTGTTATCCCGTTATCTTCTACAGAACAACATACGATACAGAGGTAACCATCATTGCCTGTAATTGTATCAGCCAACACAGCACGGAGATAACGCTTCGAGCATTTGTGTTGTCGATCATGCACGGTGATTTTCGATTGTGTTCTTCTTCACTACTTCATACAATTCTGGATCTACTTCGGGATCAGGAATTTCTGCGCAAATTATTGAGTCAATTTCATCCGGTCATATTTTTTAGACCATCCACAGGAGAATATGCGCATGAGACAGTCCTTTATTTTGTCACACTACAGAGTACATGAATGTATTCTTCTAAACGTATTTTTTTCTGATTTCAACTTTTATTTGTCAGACACTCTATTTCAATTACTTACATATACATTTCACCGGCAAACTGATGAAATAATCAGCTAAATTTCAAAATGTAGTAATCCTCGTTTAGACATACCATGATGGTACGGACCGTATGCATAAAAAATCATCGAGCGATTAGCTGTTAACGAAGATTTTTTGTTTATTTCTAGACCTGTAGAAGAATAGTTTACTTTTTTAGGAATCAAAATAAAAACAAAACATTTTATAACAACAGTAAAAGGTTATTTCTATAAGTTGTTATGTGCTTGCATTGATACATTTGTATACATACAACACATTATGAGTAAACTTGCCTATCTTACTATATATAACTGTTAACATTTGTGCTGTCTGTAATTCTGTAAACAGGCGTGGCCACGACCTAAACTATTCTTTTTAGTTTTTGCGTTGATACATACCAGTTGCTGGATTAATCATCTTGATAAAAAAATGATATCCATCCTTCTCATCAAAATATTAAGGGGTGTTGTAATGCACCATAGGAACGATGTGTTTTGCTAATACGCTGAAGGTTGCACCATCGTTGAATTACACTGTTGCGAGACTTCACATTCTATCCAACAATAAACATGGCAACTTGAAGCGTCTCAAGGTCTTCAGCAGGTTTTATATCGGCTCTGATCACTATTTTGTCATCACTTCTAAAGCTGTTTTGATCAGTTGGATCAAGATGTAAAAGTTGTAACATTTGCGTGATGATCTCTCTCCTCTCCTAGCTGAACGATTGATAGCACAGCGTTGATTAATTCAGCTTCAGAATTTCCCATTAAATAAATTTGAAGAATTCTGCAAGAAATGTTTTGATAGAGCTTCTTGCCCTGAAAGTAATGAATTTAGTTAATTTAAGCATTGCAATATTAACAAATAGTGCTCATTCTTCCAAAATCAACCGATTTATCACTGGCGTAATCGACCGTTGTATTACGAGTATATGTAAATTCATAGGTAACTGTCACCTTTTGTGGTTGCACCTAATTCGAATTTGCGGCTTGCGAATTAATGTCGCCGTTGATCTTGACAGTAATATTTTGTTAATATATAGAAGATCTCTTACAGTCATCTATCTCATTCACTCACTCGCTTTTCAAATAATGAGGTTTTTTAAAAATCCATTCGTTTTTGTAAATTTTCCTTTATACAAACCTTGTCCTGACAATAACGAATACAATAAAAAAGGATTATCCAATTTGGTGCAGTCGTTCAGAAGTTATGCGCGCACATACATTTCGGCGATTCATTTTTATTCCTATAGATGTATTGCTTTCATTTTTTAGATTAAACGTGACTTCAACTAAATATGGTCAATATCTGCATTGTCCTAAATTGATTTCACATTTTCGCTTCGAAGCTCAGGGAAACACGAAAAAACCAGTGCTTCGTGGAAAAGGAACGGCTACAGTAGCTGCTTGTGAGTATTTATTGAAACAATCAGTAAATTGATACCTACATTGTCTTCTGTTAGAAATAAAGAAGCCGTCCAAGCGGGGAAGTTGACGAACATCCCTATTTCATAAATCAACATGAATTTCTTAGAACGGGCTTTTCTGCGTTTACCAACCAACAATCGTCTTTATGATGGTGGTTGTTCTTTTGAAATTTTAAAACTTACAATTTAATTTAACTGTCAATTTTATTATAACGTTATAACTCGTTTGTAATGACTACACTTAGAGATATACGAATTTGACATGAAATATTAATAAGTATAGTAACTATATAAAATCAATATTAATGAAATCGCAGTAACAATAATAAAATTATTTTTATTTTAGATAATTATGATATACTTAACTATGGGCTATATTCAGTATTTGTAAATGATGATCACAGGCCGCATTTCTTTATTGTTACTCAACACTCAAAAACTAACCTTAAAGGAAAACTGGAATTTGCAATCACCAACGCCCATCTCATTGACACCAATAAAGGTAAGAATTTTAATGAAAAACTAATGGTCAAAGCCATTAAAATATTCTGTAAGGTTCAAATAGTGATAGTTCGTGAATATATGTAGTGATGTGAAGAATCAAAGCCCGGATAGATGGAAGAGGATAAAAACCGGTAAATTGCGAGTTGAACTCGCGTGGAGAGGGTAGATTTTCAATTCAGATGTATGTTTTTACTCACTGTCTCATTGTGTTAAGCATTCACTTTTAATATCGTGTATTTGAATTAGGTATACTGTTGTCATACCTGAAATCACATGGCCCGGGTTCTCCCCAGAGCAGGGCGCCTAAGGCTGGCCGTCGGAGTGGTTTTTAGTGGAATCACCACATACTCCTGGCTCCTATATCCCCAAGGAGCCGGAGATCCGAAGGGATTTTCCATTCCGTCAACAAAAACTGTTGGCATATGTACAAAGTATATAATTTAATGTGTACTTTTTCTGATACAATTATTAATTTAATATGTCAAAACACGCTAATAACGTATTTTAACAAAGCTTTAAATTTTAAAAAATAAAAATAACTAAAATATTTTATTTTCTCTGCAGTAAATGAAACAGTTAAGTACATGAACGACCGTTGGAGGGGAACCGAAAAATTCCTACATGCACCCATTGTCCAGAAAGCCATGACAATATTAGTATATTCAATTGACAAATACAGTCATAAGCGTACAATGGGAGAATTACTGCCTGAAAAGAAGCACCAACATTATGAGAAGTTTTAGGACAATGTACAAATTTTGCACAGATATCCCAAAATTCTTAGAGAATAAAGTTTAAAAGTAGTAATGTCATGGAAATTTACGCACTTTGAAAGATAGATAGATAAGGTATTTTTTTTTAATTGTTGGTCCTTTTGGTGTCATGATACTCGAATGTTTCAATCACTTCTGCAATATAATTTCAACAACAACAACCATTCATTATCGAGGTGCAAGTAAGAAGAGACTTTGCGATGACGAAAATTTCAAGATTTTAAACAAACTCAACTTTGGTACCCGGGATCCATTACAACTCTGTTTTATCACTAGCGATCCGCCCCGGTTTCGCACGGGTACAATGTAGATACTACTAATACTACTAATGTGGTGTCAGTGACGAGTAATGATTTATACTATTATTATGATAGGACTATACTACAGGCAATATTGCACATGAAGATGATGTGCAATATTTAAAGGCCCGCTCCTATCCTGCCGGCCGCTGCCATGTACGGCCCGATGCGGCGACCGGCCGCATTGATCCCACATTTTAAACCTCTAATATCTTCTGAAATATTCATTGTAATGATAGAGTGTAAGAACAATTTAAATCTACATTAAGTGTACAACGTTTCTAACGTATTTAATTGGATACGTAATAATAATGTATTGTTTAAAAAAGCTTCGTAAATAGCCCTTTTTTTTAATATTTTTTGGTCTTTTTAAGATATAAAATTCTGGAGTAAATAAGAAATTATTATGATATATCTCGCAAGGTTCAGCAAGCGTTTGCAATGTAAGTGCACAAAAATATGTTTTATACGACAAATCTTTGAAATTCTCGGATCGCTCCAGCCTTGATACCCCTACGCCCTCATCAGCATCTAAGCACAGCACACTGCACCTACGGTCCACGTAGAAGAGCATGCACCAGAAAGTCACTACGCAGCAACCGCCCCGACTCACTGGGGACTTCACCGCAGCACCGAACACCGCACGCCATTCCGACTCAATGGATTCAGCAGACTTCAGTCCCGACTCACTGGGACTAGCGGAACTCAGTTGCGAATCACTGGAACTACTCACTATTGGCACTGGCACGCTCTACAACAGAGCAAAGACAGCTGACTCATTATATATCGACCTCCAGTCTTGGAGGGGAGTGGTGTGGCGACTTCCACATACGGTGAAAGAAAGAAACATACTACAGTGCCATATATCGAAGACACACTGAACTACGGAGTAACTACTAACCCTGTATCACGATATTAACAATTCAATCGCCGATTAGCATACACACAACTTCCCAACATCAACCGTTGGGCCGCAGCCCGCCAGGCATGATCACCTCGCCTGGTCGGAGGATCCTGCCTTTATGCTGGAGGGACATGACGCCCGTTCCTGCACAAATGAGTTAGAATTAATTCTTCATAGAATTACAAACAAAATGTTTAAGTTTGAATGAAAGAAAGAAAACGCATTTATTTCCTAAGTGACGCTGATATATTAAATGAATTATGACGTACTCTAACTATATTATATATCCGCCGGGGCTTTCATTCGAACTTTTCGCAAAAAGGATAAATTTAAAAATGTTAGATTTAATTTATAAAAATTACTCCAAAAGTACTAAACATTAAGTGTACAGTGTCTGTTAGTTTAAAAGTTTAGTTAAGAGTGGAATATTCATTACGTGAAGTCTCTTGAATATTCTTTGAATATTCAAGAGACTTCACGTAATATTCAAGAGTCTACACTAGTTACGTAAAATGATATAAAGTGATTCTTACAACAATTTACAATAGTTGCGGGCCTAGGCGGAATAGGACTCTCTTTTTGAAGCCAACAATAGTTGTGGGCCTGTGTGCATTAACCTCTAATGCTCATAATTAAAAAGTAATTTTGTCAAATTGTGAGTGGACTGTAATATTATAGGGTGCTGCTTATTATAATTAAAAGCGGAATTGTCGAGACGTCCTCCGACACACATTATGTTATCAGTATCTAAATAGACATTAAACTTTAAAAGGACGCTCCTTTTAGGTAACCTTTGTTGTGATAAAAGTAATTTATACTCAAGGATTAATTGACGCTGACTTTGTATAATCAAAATATCTAAAGCCCTTGTTAATTCATCGCATGATATAAAGGTAGAACTTAACGATTGCTTTCGACATAATTTAATGAATCGCTACACATAAGCCATAGAATGTACCAAGCGAGAGTAATTGGAAAAGCGACTAAAATCTATTAACTGCTCATTATCATAGTAGTTAAGACTAACAGTGAGTTTCAGGGAGAGTATCTGAATCCGAACCTTCGACTAAATATGTCTAGTTATATGTGTCTTGTAGTAAAAAGCTAGGACCAGACCGCCTCAAGTCTAAACTGTACAGATGCCGAATATCAACGCCACGTGATATAAGTTCTGCTGGGTTTTTATCAGGTACAGTAACCCGACCGTTCTAAAATTTCAGCAACGCGATTGCGTATAAATGGCTGAAGTTTAGATGGCAACATCTGTTACCACCCCAACACTATAGTGGAATCAGTCCAACAACACACGCTACTAAACTTCACTCTAAGTGAGTTAAATTCCTTCTCGCAAAGACGAACTCAAACCACAGCACCTCACAACTGCAATCTAGGAATTGTGGTTGGTTTGATTGGAGCTACTCTACTCTTTGCCATCAATAATCCGAATATACAGTCTATTCAGTCACTATCGATGCTACGTGTATAGGCACAAGTTCAGATGCATCTGTTAAGATATGAAGTTCTAAGTCTGTGTACGATTTACAAACGACAATATGTGGAATCCGAAAGCCGTTCACACAAAGCAAATTTGTCACAATTTCTAGCCTTTTCCAATTACTTTCGGGAGATTGTGGAGGATTCGGGAGACTCTAGCTTTGGCAACCACAAGCCACATTCTTTGTAATAATATTTTCAGGCTTATTGCAAAGGGAAATAACAATCCTAAAGGGTCCAAGATTCTAGCATTGACAGTCGACAAGTCACGTTTAGTATGATTGGTCGAACATACGGTGGAACTCATTGAAAATACGAACTCATCTGAACCTGCATTCCAGCCTAAACCTAGCAGTTTGTCAAGCTCAGTAGACCTAATATTTGATTCCAGCTATGACTGGTCAGTCGCAGACAGCAACTGAGGCTCATTTGACTTCCACTTACGAAGTGGCTTGCACACCGGTGCAAGTGTCTTCGTAATCTCTTGACGAATAAATCTGACGTCATCTAATCGATCCCCCCCTGTCAGGAGATCATCTACTTAGAAATTGTGCTTGATGACTTCAGCAACCTGCTCATTCTTACTATGAGTATACCATGAGTGACAGTGTTTAATTTATAAACCTTCACAGGATCTGATTCCTTACCGTGCCAGAGAACCTGTTGCAGGTCTTTCAGATGGGTAGACGTCCACGTATCTGTACATCATCTAGATATCTGCGGCTAAGACATACTTGTATAGTCTAAACCGAAGAAGTATAGACAGAAGTTCATCTTGAATAGTTTCACCAACCATCTGTATATCGTTCGATGAAACACTAAAAGTTGTGCGATAGCTTGCATTAAAGACCTCGCGAAGTTTCTTAGTACTGCTCTGCTCACGTAATATCCCGTGATGTGGTATAAAGTAACCGAAATGTTCAAGTCTGATTGTTTACATTTAGTTATATGCCCTAGTAATTCGTACTCGGACATAAATGCGTGATACATTCAGTTTTGTATTTTAGTCTACGCTCTAATGAATAAAGACATTGACTCTTGCCTTATGAACTGAGTCGCCAGAACAGAAGGGTTTTGTTTAAGTGGAATACCAACACAAAAGCGACCGTTCTACAATCGAGTCTTATTTTTAATAAAGTACTGAGAAGTCTTCTTATTAATCTCCTCTAACTGCCAAAACTTAGTCAAACCAGTTCCAATTTTGTCTAAATCCGTAGAATTAGTTGAATCCAATTTAGCAAAATGATACCTTATATTATTGGAAAGCAAAGTGATGTAATTTCGACTGATGGGACCGGACACGATCCAGCCAGTGATGCCAGCAGCAGTTTTTCAGAATATCCTGACTAGTATTCACTGTACAAACCGGCTTCTTACAGTGATTAGCAAAACGACGAAAGCAATTATAACAAACTTTGTAGCCTCGTTGCTTAGTGCTAGAAACTGTGCACAATTATTTAAATGATGGTCACCTTTACATTTAAGACAAACCTTCGTAATTCTAGTAGTGCCTTGTACAGTTATAATAGATTTAACCTTAGGGCAGAACTGTTATATTTGGCTGGGACGAGTTATTTCGCGACAGCTCCCACTCACGGAACGTTTTGCTATCTAGCTTGCGAATAATTATGTAAATCAGAAGAATGACCCAGTGCTTAACGGGTTCGCCTAAAGATTCTAAAGAACATAGGATTTTATTTAATTGGTCAATTAATGTCTTTAAAATGACTGATGATTCTTTAGTAATATTACCGCAACGGACAACACACACATACACTCTCGTCGATTGCCTCCTTGGCCGTCGACGACGGGGAGAACGTAGATGATGTTCCGCCCGTCCGGGATTCGGAGATAGGGGCGGCGTGCCGTGGGTGGACAGGACGTGTTTCCCCTCCACCAGCCATAACAGCCAGCCTTGAGGAGGCTACGTCCGCGTGTGCCGGACGTCGCCTTAATAGAAAATGTACCGCAGGCGACTCAGGCGCCGGAGGTCGCAGAGCGACCTCCGTCCTCCATAAGCGCAGGCCTGGGGGTGACAGGTGAGGCCATCTGTCACCCTAGCAGAAGCAGGCCGGGGTGGCGGCGAGCGCGTTGCGAAGCGCGCTCGCTTCCAGGGAGCACAGGGAACATGGGGTTCCCACACGGCGGGGGGGGGGGGGGGGTCGTCTACTCGTCTGTAGATTACCCGAGGTATGTCGTGGTATCCGAGGGGATTTAAGCACGGAAAAAAAGAAAAAAAGAAAAGAGGAGTCTCTCTGGTGTTTGGGTGCATT